TGTATATAATTAGCATAATATAAACAGTCCAAATATTGTATATAAGGAAATATTTAATTAATTCATATGGTTGTATTTATTTAGTATTATTATACCAACCATTTTAAATGGTTAGAAAAGGAGTTCTTTACAACCAGATATTGTGTTTGCAATTGATTGAAGAATGATAGCAGTTAAATAGCTTTAATCTGAACTAAATATTTCCACTACAAGCAGATGCAAATACCTGTAACGTACTCAAGTTAAAATGAGGCAAAGAAATTTTGGTTTGAAAATACATAATTGAAAAAAATACACTTTTAACCCTAAAGTGTAAAATGAAATAAAAATCATATACCCTGAAGTTAAAGCGAATAACGTTCTGTCACATGGTAACGGCCTCAAATGACTCAATTACGCTACAGTTTTGCCATAATTGGCCAAGTTGTTAATAAATATTCAAAGCCAGGTATTTTTTAGAAGTATGATATAGCTGTAAAATGAACCTCCTTACTGTTGATGAATAGTCATTATATGATGAAAAAGTCAAAGTTTAAAAATAAGACATTAGTAAACTGTAATGAGCATTAATAAAACATGTAAAATGTCAGCATGTAACCAGGCATGTTTTTCTCTGCTAATGGCTTGCATGGGGAATCTTGTTATTCTTGTGATTAAATTTTAACTACAAATAAATAAATGTCTGAAAGAAAGGAACAAGCCGGTTTACTAACAAAATGTTGTTTGAATAACAAAATTATTTTCCATTTTAATTCAAAACTGATTTTGAATTTAATATGACTGAGCTATTTTCCACTTTTTTAAATCTATTTCCAATTGAAGAGTTTTGCTGTGTTTTATAGGATTTTTTATGTAATTGTTTTAGTTGTGAAAGATATATATATACCGGTAAATGAAACGACTTGTATAAAATGATGGTATTAGTTGTAGATATGTTTATCTTTATGTATAATTTAAACTATTCATTCCACCATAAGCTTTCGTCTTTTTTTATTTTAAAAGTGTAATAATTGTGGATAATGGATATTGTCATTGCCTATGATCTTTCTAAGTAGAAATTTACAATAATTTAAATTTTTGATTGATAATATTATGATTGGTTAATTAGACTGAAAATAAAATGGTATTATGTAATGACATGTCAGTTAAACGTAAGACTTGAATCATTTTTATATGTGAGATTTTATTATATTAATAAATATTACTTTCTCTGAAACCTTAGATATCTTTTTTTATCTACACCTATAGATTTTATTTACGCGTATTTATTTCAGAACAAGGCTCAGAACGCAAACTTAAAAAATGTAACGTTTTACTGCGTAAAATTGTCACCTTGACATCTTTAATGTCTCCTTTTCAATTCCCACTAACTGAAACTAGTTGATTAAGCTATTTAATGGTAACTATTGATGAAGTTTACCTTCCTACATTTCTGAGATTTTCGTGCTTTTGATTGAGTGTTCAGTGACATCACATTGGTCTTCCTTCATATGACGTCGTTAGATGACGTAATTTGTATTATGAGCTTCTCATTCGATGTATTCAAAATGAGATTTTAATAAGCACTATTGTTGATAGGTTCATACAAGGATAACACTTCTAAACTTTAGCCATTTGTTTGACCAATTTACTTCAGTCTTAGAAACAGTAATTTTTTAGGTAAGCTAAACAATAGTAGTGTTTTCTGCTTACTGTCGAAATTTTAGCTTTCAATTGCATGTGTGTCTAAAATTATCCAAGATTAAATGTTAAGATAGTGGACCACAGCCACCACGGCATGCAAAATGTAAATATTCCAGATTTTTCAGCAAGGGCAATAACTCTGCTTCTAACGGTCGAAAATAGCTCAAATTCGAAGTTGATCTTTGTTTTATGAAAATTTATACACATACCAAGTTTCATTTGATTCCATCAAAAAATCTAGTTTTTGAATCTTTACATTACACTCATTGTAACACAAATCTCTGAGTCTACCAGCAAAGAAAATGAACAGCATAGGACTCTTAAGACTGGAGTCTAAAGTCTGTGTTGAACTGTTGCAGACCCAACTGTGGAAGAATTGGCATCAGTATATATTATGTTATAAATAGGCTGAGTAGTATGAAAGAATTAATCCAATCTTTACTCATAATTCCAGTTGATCCAGCTATAATAATCTGTAATACAGATACAGGAAAGATCAATGCCAAGAGGTTTGGCCAGGGACCAGCTGGTGGAAAGGATCCTTAACTGTGAACCTAAGTTGTTATCCTTGTGAAATGTAGTTGTTTGTTTCTTTCTAATTGGAGGTCAAATTTATTAAATTTAATACACATTTCACTCGATCTCTATCACAACTCTTGATAGATTTTGACAAAACTTGGTGTGAGTGTTTTATATCACTTCAGGATGAACCTTATTTAAAATCAGAAAAATCGAAAAATACTTTGTAAGAGTTATTGCCCATGTTGTTGAAAACACTTACAATTTTAGCTTGTAAACGCTCCAGAAGGCACAATTCTTGACAGATTTGGACAAAACTTGGTTTGAGTATTTGTAATCACCCTCTAGAATGTTTATGAGCAATTGTGGACAGATGGACGGACATGGGTGACAGCAATATACACACCCCATTTCATGTGCGCTTATAAAAAGCGAAAGAAATATTTTTAAACATAGTTTTGTTTAATATTGAATATGAAAAATCAGATTGTGTAAGGTCAACATTATAGAAGATATTGATATTTTTTATCCATAATACTATCTCTGATAACTTCATTCATGCTATCCATATTACTTTTCAGAATGGAAATCACATCTTAACTTGTCTACAATTTGATAAATAGGTTTCATATCACTCTCCAAATAATATTGCTTTTACTAGCTCTTAGAAGCTATGACCAAGGCCCTGAAGGCCCAGGTTTGCACACCATATAGTTTTATTTAAGTTCGCACCCAAAGGGTTAATTAACACACCATATCTATATGTACAGTTTATTTTAAATGACAAGACATTTTCTGATCTTCATTGAATGAATTGATCCCATGTGAGTTGAATAATATGTTAATATATGGAACAGATAAAGACTATGTGTTCAGACACATTAATAAGCTGTCATAAGTGTGACTAAATTTCTCATTTACTAAGTTACTATAATAAATGATCATATATTTGAACTAATAAGTCAAGTCAAGTGTTTGCAAGCCAGTTGGGGTCCCAGATGGCGAACAATGTATGTCCATATGCATGATGTTGCTATATTGCAAAGTGAATTGAATGTAACAATTTTCTGCAATGATATAAGGAATTAACATCATATAGATTATAGAACTCTAATGACAATTTTTCTTCATTCCTTTTTAAAGTCAAAGCTAACATATTTAATGGCTTAAGTCTTAATATTGTTCTATATAACCACTCTGTAAAAAGTTATAACTAACAAAAATAACAACATTTAAATTATTCATTAGGATAGCAAATAAGGTAACATGTACCCTGCAGACTGGACTCACATTTTCATTGAAATGCTGCTAGGTCCTCCTCTCAATATGTAATCAGTTGTAGATGAACTTGTTCCTTTCAAGCTTTAAAAAAATAATCACTCCCAAAAATATAGTATCCTTGCCCTTTGGTATCCATAACAATAGCATGTTTCCTTTCAAGAGCTTTTAAAGTCTATTAAGCCCAGTGGACAGTTTTCTTGAATATCAAAAGCATTCATTCTGAATTAACAATTAAAGCCCAATTCCTTCAATATATCTCTCAAGAGAGTTGAAAGAAACGTCTAGGTAAATGTCACAAGGTCTACAATTCAAAAGGGTCCCAATGACTTTTAGTTCTTAAGATTTTAAGGATACAACATATAAAAAATTTTTTGAATGGGTAACAGCATTCAGTGAAGATCGTTTTCACTCAGTTTTTATTACTTACAGGGGCACTCTGACTAAGGAAGGTGGAATATACTATTCACTAAAATGAACAAATTCTAGAAAAAAAAATAAAATCGAAGAGAAACATGATTACTATTTTTTCTGTGGAGTTTCAACTAATAATGGTGATCCATTATAAAGCCAAACTGCTTAATTAACAATAATAAGCACTTCTGTTTTTAATCACCCCTTTAAAACAAATTCAGGTTGATTAAGTGTATAATAGAAGTACATAGCATATGTTAGAATAGAATGAATGGGTAAGTTGTGATGATTCCCATTGGTCTATTTATCTAATTAAGTATATTTAAACAATGGCCAACAAATAAGGTATCATCTTAATCTATACAAGAGAGATATTTTCCTGCTTTTTTTATTTTCAAAATAATGTGAGGAACATACATATTCGCACCTAGAACCTCCACACGGTTTAGAGCCAAAGTCATTAGGTGGGTGAGTGGGGTTATTTTGCTTTTGAATCTCTAAAATAGTGTCGTTATAAATAAATAAAATAATAATAATACGATATAAAATCATTTAAAAAAGATTTTCTTTGCACTTTTATGATGGATATGAATAATAAGTCAATAAAAATCTATTTCAATTTCCTTGACAGTTTACACTATCAACTACTGGAATCTTCTTGCAGCATGAACTACACATGAGAGAAAATAATCCTCTAGAAATAACCATTTTCGACGATTGGAGCTTTTGAGAAGTGGTAAGTTGGAAAAATCAATTTTACATGTGAAAATAAAGTCACAGAAAAGTTGTCAATATTTCATGCGAGGTATGTAATTTAAAGTTACAATAGGAACTATCTGTGAAAGCTAAACTGGTTTTGGGATTGCAGAAGAAATATTCAAATTATTTGATTGATTTTGATTGGTTAATAGACAGTTATCAGGTAAAATTTGATTGGATAGTGGAGATAATAATGGTAATTCTCCACCAATGATTGAAGGTATTATATCAGTTGATGTTGATTGAGGTGCTGGTATCTTAGAATGGAATGTTTCATCAGTCAAGTCATTTAACGACATCTGTAGATCTTGAAATGGTGAAATTCTAGAGTTCTGATGGTTTATCAGGTGGTTTTCCAACACTGACTTCTGTGTGAACATTTTTGGGCACAAATTACATCGAAATAATTTTTCACTGTGTCTGCGTTTTAAATGAATATTTAATGTACTGTTTTGAGCAGTTTTATATTTGCAATATGGACAATTGAATGGTTTCTCCCCTGAAAGAAAAATAAAGATTTTTATTTATATGATGAAGAATTTTATGAAGCGGTGATATTTATTTTATATCTGGCACTATTTTTAAGTATGCTGCTTATATTATATTATCATAATACAAGTTGCCAATAAAAGTATGATAATCAAAGACTGAAAAAATCCCATATCAAACAATAAGAATGTGGGGTAAATATGAGTATTACCAACCAGTATGTATTCTTGTATGAACCTTCAGATGACTTCTTTCTACAGTGGAATAATCACAGTCATTACATTTAAATGGCTTCACACCTACAAAATATTATATTTTATGCTCGTGGTACATATTTTACCCTCTAATCAAATATATGTATGATGAACAAGGAGTTTTGCAAATATAAATATCTAAGCTTACTATATAAAGCGTGTCTAACGTTAATTTTTTTTTATCATTTTTGTTGATTAAATAGGTAGTGATCTTTATTGTTGATAGAAGTTTGCCAAAATTTACGCGTCATAGTGATAGTATTCACTAGGCAGGCATTTTTTTACTGTTGAAAATTGTAACGGAGTTATTGTCATACACCATACAATAAGGCCGTTTCGTTTCCTAAAATTACACACTGATACATAATTCTATCAATCAGTTTTTTTCATTTTAACAATCATCTTACCTGTGTGTTTACTCATATGTTTTTTTAAATGTATTCTTTGATTAAATGCTTCACTACAGCTATCACATTTATATGGCCTGGATGTTGGATATTTTCTCTTCTTAATAGAGTTATCTTTTCCTGCTTCATCTTGCTTGCATTCTATAAAGTTTATGGTATTTGGGTCCAATATTATGGCTGTGGCCATAGACTCAATATTAGAAGACAATATATCCTCTATTTGGTTTGAGGAACTGCTACAAGATTGTTGAACAGTTTGTGAAGTGTAAAATGTATCTGTTCTATTGTGACTAGGTGATACAACTCTACCCTTATTGTTATTATCAACATCAATAGCTTCTATAAATTCTTGGTCAATGGTTAGAATATCTGTATTTTTTACAGGAGTTATTTCCCCTGTACTACCATGGTTGCTGACACAATCCTTCTCACTATCATGACCATTCACAAGTGATTTATCTTTGAACAAGGCCACATTTAAATTTTCTTTATCAGTACTGCCATTCATATGTTTCACCATATGTAATTTACGTTTTTTAGGAAGAACTGAATTACAACATTTGCGTGGTTCTTCATGTGTTCCAGGAATAATTGTAACACAACATTCCTCACTATTACAACATATCCCAGTCTCTCCCTCATTGTTTGTAGTAATATCAGTACATTGATTCATCAAACAAAACTGTGTACCTTGTTCTATACTTGAACTATTAGGACTGGAAGAAATTCTCTCTTCTTTTTCTGAATTACAATGTCCTGAAGCCCTACAAATACAGTTTAAATCTCTTTCTGATAATATCTTCTTCTCACAACAACTTGGTTCTGGAATTGTACTGTTTGAAGTGTTGGAGTCTAGACCACTATCTGATATATTTAAATCAGATATACTTTCTGTGTCTGGTAAATCACTGGACCTTGTTGTCTGGTTAATTCTTGATACAAATATATTAATATTGTGTTCAAACTGCACATGTTTTAACAGTCCTCTTGCTGTAGAAAACTCTTTTAAACAGGATGAACAGCACAAAGATTTAGGAACAGTACCTAAAATGTATAAGTCTTAGAATTATTATTCATTAGTAGAAGTTAATTATGATGACAAAAATTAAGTAGGCTACTCAAAGTTGTTCCAGGATTTAAATAGTATGAACTAAAAACAAAATTGAACATTTATTGATATAATCTGCATACCAATTCAGAGAAAAATGTCTGTATAAAAAAATAATAACATACCAATTCTGTTGTTGGCTTCATTAACATTCTTGTTTAGATTGTTAAACTTACCTACAAAAAAATACAAGTCAAAAATAAATGTCTAAATAGAACTCATCTTATGAAAATGATGGTCACTTAAAAAATTTAACTTCATCTTTCAATTTCTACGGAAAATGAAGCAATAAAATGGTACTGTATGCTAATATTCAGAGTATATATTGAAATATTTATATGAAAGTCTGGATGAAGAGTTGAATTAAAGGCTAATGTTGAAAACATTTTGAAAATCTGACTGTTAAAGAGAAATATAATATAACAAAATGATAAAAATAATGATAACAAAGATTACTTAATTGACATTAACAGAAAAAACAAAAGAAAAATGCTCACAATGATCAAGGTATTATGTGTTCATCTTATACATTGACTGTAATGGCCCACTTTCTTGTTTGATTGTCAGTGATTTGATTGGATTGTACGCCAGCAAGTAAAGCCAACCAGAGCATTTGGTTTCATGCGTACGGTAATTATTTTTTCCAGTCTTCCTGACGAGAGCTCAGATTGGCTGTATTCGCTAGCATACAATCCAATTTAATTGCTGCATTCACAAACATCCTTGTAACAAGACAGTGGACCATTGCAGTCAAGGCATAAGATGAAGAGTTAATACCTTGACCATTGTGAAGATGAAGGAAAAAGAACTAAGCCAATTCCTCTCTCCATGAAACTAAAACATATCTCTCCTTTAAAATGATCAAAAAATGTGATGCACTGATAAATATATTAAATATATACTCTTACCATTAATACATTTTATAGCTTTATGTTGTATAAAATTGGTGATGTTATGTAATGGAAATTCTTCATCACACTGTCCACAAGTTAAATAATCAATGATATTATTATCTCTCATATCTGAAATATACATGATGTGACACACGCATACTGTATTTATTTGATTTGCTTTTACAAACTTGCATGATACAAAAAAAGTGTCTAAAGGTATAAGGTGGATTCGAGATTATAAGAATTAGGAGTACCAAAATCGTTTTTTGGACATATGTTATCTTCGACGTTTTTCTGACTTAATATAATATATATGTACAGTCAAGTAACCCAATTTTCATGCTAACCTATTTTTTGTGCATCTCTGGAAATGATTAATAATTTACATGTGCGACCTCTCGTATTTGCTTGTTTTGATGGGTTATCTCTACAATGTCAGCTAGCAGAATGAATCCAGTAGTTTCAAGCGGGGTAAAATTTATTGATGTATAATAATAATAATTAATAGTTTATTCGTACTATAAGGCCTTTATTAATGTATACTTTGACATAAACAACGGCCGAATTTCCTTATAATCCCCAGGTGTGATCGGATTTCCAAGTGTTACCTGCTAGAATATATTCCAGTGAACAAGGTCATATCCTTATGTTTCATCTGAGGAAACATCTAAGACATAAAAAAAAATTTCTGTTTTTTAAATATGATGAAATTTATTGTTGAATTCTTATATGCACGAAAATAGGTTACAACCACTGTACAGTCAAGTAACCTAATTTCGTGGATTTCCGGAAATGTTTAATAATTTACATGTGCGACCTTTGCATTAGTTTGTTTTGATAAACATGGGTTTTCTGTACAATGTCAGCTAGTAAAATGGATCCAGTAGTTTCAAGCAAGGTAAAATGTATTAATGTATACTTTGACAAATACAAAATGGCGGATTTCAGTTACCATTTTTATCGGCCAAATTTCCTTATAATCCCAAGCGGTAATCGAAATTCCTAGTGTCGTATGCTAGAATGTAGTCCAATGAATGAAGTCACGTGATCAACTAGCGGATTCCGTGTCAGCAGAAAATTTCTATGGAACACAAAGTGGACCATGTTCTTGTTGTTTCAGTGACATTTAGCAATAAATCACGCTACGTATCTTTTTTTGTCAGTCACAATTTTTTTTTTAATCGTGGTTCTTTGAAGGAATTGTCACTAGTTATAATGAATTGATATTACAGATAAATACTAAGAGAAGTTAATTATACCACTCGGTATCAATACAACATGTTTTTCTAGACTTATTTATAGATCAAACATTGTACACGGAAATAGGTGACGCATTCTGCCGCCGTTGCCGAGTTGGTTGCTCATGAAACATGGGTCAAAGTGAAGGATTCATAAAGAAAATCGAAATAAACCAATTTTAATTATTTTGTAGAATATCTGAGGAAACATCTCAGACATAAAAAAAAAAATTCTTTATTAACTTTGACGAAGTTCGGTGTTGAATCCTTATATCCACGAAAATAGGTTACACCACTGTATAATCTTCATAAAACCAATATTTATAGAGAAATTGAAAAGGATTAATTGTAACCATAAATAACTTAATGACATACCGGTATCATCTTACATTCCACCATTGTAAGAGATAAATTATTGATCTGGAATATAGTAAATATATAGGTATCTTGGTTTTGTACTTACCTACAATGGCTACATCAGACATATCTGAAAGTAGGCTTTCTCAATTCTCTTTCTTCTCAAGTTCTTTATTTTATAACAATAAACAAAGTCTGAAAGTGTGGTGTGAAAGATTCTATCCGTTGTCAAAAATGTGTGACGTGTGCATAAGACCATGATGTCATCTATGGCATTACTATAAAACAGTTTGAAATATCTAGCATTTAATGGAATTAATCTGTAATTATTTACAAAAATAGAAACGAAAGTAGGTCTAGTTGCTCACTTCCGCTAAACAATTCGGCACCTACAATTGATTTTTTTTTATAAATATTTTTCTTTTATCTCATTTATCATCAAAATCGTTTGGTTAGTGAATGAGAAGACATAATTTCTGCGTTAACATACTGATAGTATGACTTTCACTCTTAGAAACTTATCTTTTTTCAACACAAAATGAATTCGGATAAAAAGACGAGATGTTTCAAAAATTAATAAAAACGCAGGTCTTCGAATGACCTGTCATGGCTGCCAACATTGATCGAGAGAAAAAAATAACCGGTATTTTGAAAATACCGTGACAGTTATGAGATAAGACCCTCTTCTGCAAGGTAATGCTAATCTCATTTCATAGCTACTCGTTGTCCACATTTTCTGAATCATAATATATCAATTATATTACCTTGACTTCGTGAACATTAAGAAAGACGGCAGTTTGTTATGGTGTTCAGTCAACTCGTCTACAAGTCAACTCGTCAACAGTTAACTCGTGGACAAACTGAGTTAACTCGTCTACAGCCTTGAGTTAAATTGTCAACAGCCTTGAGTTGAGTTATCTCGTCTACACAAACAACTGAAAATGAAATAAAGATATTATTTTGAAAACTAGTGGTGGTTTTGTTTTAATAACGATCAAACGATCGGAAATATGTACAGTCAAGTAACCTAATTTCGTGCATTTCTGGAAATGATTAATAATTTACATATGTGACCTCCACATTTGCTTGTTTAGATAAAAATGGTTTCTGCGTTAACATACTGATAGTATGACTTTCACTCTTAGAAGCTTATCTTTTTTCAACACAAAATAAATTCAGAAAATAGGTGACGCATTTTGCCGCAGTTGTCGAGTTTGTTACTCATGAAATATGCGCCAAAGTGAGGGATTCATACAGAAAATTGAAACAAAGCAATTTTGATTATTTTGTAGAATAACATCTCAGACATAAAAAAAAATTTCTGTTTTCTTAACTTTGACGAAATTCGGTGTTGAATCCTTATATGCGCGAAAATAGGTTACATCACTGTATATACTCGCTTCTTCGGTTGTGACCCATATTTCATGAGTAACCAACTGTGCTACTATCTATTTATAGTAATATAAAACCTCCTTTATTTCAATACGAATTATTAATAATCAAA